TCACTCATCCAGGCTGCTTTCTTCCTCCCCCATTATTACCTCCTATGCCCTCCACAGTCTAGGCTCTGTGGCCAGGAGCTTTGCTTTCTGTGGCCCAGCCTTGGGCATGAAAGGGAGGAAGTCCCAGCCAGTGAGGATAAGGGAGAGCCTGGGGCAGAGCTGCAGGAATGAGGACGCCTTGCCCGGGGCTGGATGCATTTGGGGGCCTGGGGAGAGGAAGGGGCTGAGACCTATGGAAGTCAGTGTGGGCAAAGGGGGTACCCACACAGGAAGGACAGAATAGATGGGGTGTCAGCACCACAGCCAGGGCCTATGAAGACCAGGCAGGGGGTGCCCAGAGCCCCTCATCTCTGCCTTTCTCCCTCATGTGCTCATTCTTTCCAAGATGGGCTTCTCTGCCTGCCCGTGGCTTCTGCCACCTGCAACCTGTGGCTTCTGCATGGCTTCGACCTGTCATGGCGCCCACACCAGCCCTAACCAGACAGCAAGAAGCTTCTTTTCCAGGTCCCCACAGAACGTTGATTTCACTTCCAACACCCCATCCGCTTGGGCTGTTAGAGTCAGGTGATCACCCCTGGACCAAGCAGATTTGCCTGGGTCTGAAGTCACTTGGTATAGACATGGCTGCCTAGGTCCCTCCCCTGGAGCAGAGAGAGCTGTGGGTGTAAAGAGCACCTTTACTTGGAAGGAGGGTGAGTGGGGAGGCAGTGGTTGGCATCTCGGGGGGAGGTGACAAAAACACTATATAGGAGTCAAAGCCCTGATTTCCAGGCACAGGTCTGCTGTTAACCACCTGTGAGACTCAGTGCAAGGCACATCCCCTCACTTTTCCCATCTGTAAAATGGGGAGGCTGGACTGGATACTCCCCAAGATTCCTGCCAGCTCTCACATTCAAGCCTTCCCTGGGAGGGGCCTGGTCAGGCCCGGCCTCTGTGTTCAGGAGCTTCCTTGGCCTCCAGGTGCCCCGCCCACCCCTGCTCAGATCCCACCCCTCCTCCCACAGGCTCCCCAAACCCACGTGGGAGGGTCTCCAGAGGCTCTCCCACCCTGACCCTGTCTGTAGCAACCGTGAGGCAGTCAACAGAAATGTTCTCTTTCTGAATTTTCAAATGCCCGTTTGTCTACGTTCATGATGAAGAGACTGACTGTTTACAGTTTCTAATACCCTCTTTAAACAGGGCTCATCTCAGGTTGCCTGTGATGGTATTTTATTACCATAATAATAATTACAACAACCATTTATGGAGTATCGCTCAATATTGTTGTGAACTTGGCTCGGCGAGCTTCCCCCGTTCCCCCTTAACTCATGTAATCTTTCTCTCAAGCCTACACGGTAGGTACTGTTATCAGCTCCGCTTCCACATGTTCCTTTACGTGAGGACACTGAGGCCCAATGAGTCACTTTAACAGCCTATGTCTGAGGGCTCCGGCAAGTGAGTGGAAAGGCTGGGTCTCAAACTTGGCGTCCACGCTCCGAGCCACCAAGTCTCACTGCCTGCGGTGAGCTTGGAAACCCGGCCGCACCTGGCGCCACAGCGGAAATCTGCTTGCGTGGACCTGTGAGCACATCTGCACATCGCCATGGAACAGCAGCTGGGTGCTCGGAGGAGCCCGCGGTGCACCTGCTGATTGATGACTGTCCCCTCACACCTCATTTCCCTAACAGAGCATGGCGCCCGGGACCTGAAATGCAGGAAGTCAGCATTCTCTTCTCTCCAATGGCTCGTCCCTTCTAAGAACACGATGGCTCTTTGCCAGGCCTATTTAAAACCTTTTCTAAGTTATGCAGAAATTAAATGGGTTTCCACTGCAGGGCATGAAACATAAAAGCCAAGAAGGTCAGACACAGGACCATCCCTTCTTCTTCTCTATCTTCTTGGCTCTTGCTCTTAAATCTTCTGATCAGATCTCTGAGACCCTTTGCAGAGACCATGCCGGACAGACCGGTGAAATGTCCTCTCCTCCCCGGGGCAGCAGGCTGGACAGCTGACATTCTCTCTGGAGTGGGAGCCGTGTCTCTCCTCTGGGTGGTGGCTTAGTGGGGGGGGGCGGGTGTCAGAAGTGTCCCATCAGGGTCCCCCAGGGAACAGTTCATCCCAAATAGTTCCAACAAAGGCATTTCAGTGAAGAGACTGCAGCTGGGGGTCAGGGGAGGAGCGGATGTGGCTAAGGGACTAAGAGATGCTAAGGTACCAGAGACTTAGCTGCAGAGGGAAGCTCTCACTAACCCTGGGGCTGAGTGGGGGAGGGAAGGGCTTAGTGCTGCCAGAGGCCACCAACAGCTGGGCCAGGAAGGAGGGGCTGCGGGTCTGCGGGGCTGTGGGGCTGGAGCTGGGGGGAGTGGGGAAGTAACACCCCAACCTGTTTCTCTTCTTGGCACCTCCCCAAACTCTGAGCTCTTACCAGCACCCCCCTTTGGCAGAAGCTAGCCGGCAAGGGAGCCTGGGGATGCAATGAGCTCACCCTAGTGTGGGCAAATGGAGGGGAGGTGGAGCAGAACAGGGTACTCAGTGGGCCTGGGGTGCAGACAAGGAATGCTCAGCGCAGTGTCATGAAAATGCACAGTGCTTCTGGGCACCTCCCTGCCCTGCCCTCGAAGGTGCTCGTCCGCAGTCCTCTAGACGGTGTCCGGCAATAAGATCACACCTGCCATCTTCGAAGCCCTTATTAGATGCTGGGAAGTTTACACTCATGACTCCCTGTACTCTTCATGCGAACCCTATGACATCTTATTAACCTCAGTGTACAGAGAGGGGATTGAGGGTCAGAGAGATTAAGAAACTGGCTCAAAGACACTCGGCAAGGCTCGGGTTCCAACCGAAGTCTGTCCACCCCTGAAATCCCAGCACTCGTCCGCTCTGCCCCCTTGCACACTTGATTCTATTTTTGAGGGAAGGAGAGCGTCTGTTTTCCAAGCCACGGAGCGGGATAGGGCAGACCGAGCAAAGAAAGAGCAGGTCCAGGAACCCAGGCGTGTGAGGGAGCCTGCTGGGTTTGAGACGTACAGACTCTACCTGCCAGGAACTATTAAACTGATAAGATGCTACGCATGATCTTAGCGAAGAGGCCAAGAAGCCATACCTGCCAGGAAATAAAGTGCGAAGGAGACAGGCCCAGACCGCGAGGGCCTGCGTTCTACGCACAGGGCGCTGGGGAGTCCTGGGTGCTGTGAGGAGAGGGGCCTCCCTGTCTGCCTCTGTCCTCAGTGCTGGGTGGGGAAGGACAGGTGCTAAGCCTGGCCGTTGAGCCTGACACTTGCCTGGTGATGGACAGAATCGTGGGTTAGAAACAGTGGCAGCGCCATGGCGTTTCCCCTGGGGGCCCTTTCCAGCCTGACCGGAGACCTTATTTAGGACACCCTTTTCTCAGGCAGGTCGTCCTGGGGAAGGGCTGTTCGCATGCCCAAGCCTGGTCCCCAGAGAAAGAAGCTGCTCACAGCAGTGACGCAGGGCCCAGGTCGCGGCCGGCAGCAGGGAGAGGGGCAGCGATGTGGATGCTCTTCTTGAAAAGAGCCCGCAGGTGTCAGAAGGGACCCCATCACTGTCCCAGTGTAGACAGAGCGCAGAGGACCAGAAGTACGGTGTCCGCCCTCGGCGAGCTTACCGCCAGTCCCACCTTCCTGTCTGGGAGGTGCCACCCACGCTGGCGGTCGTCCCTGGCACCACACAGCAGCGTTAGGGAAGGAACTGCCATCAGTATTTTAGAAGTGTTTCGCATAGGGCTTGAGATCATGGGCGAGACCTGGACTGAAGGCCTCCCACCGCCTAGCTCTATGCCCTGGGCAAATTACGTAACCTCTCCAGACCTCAGCTTCTTTTCAAAAACAGGATAGTGGCTCCCACCTCGAAGGCTGCTTGTCCGCAGAGCTGGCAGGTGCAGTCCCCAGCACAGGACCTGGCCTATAGCTATCATTGAGCGGGAGCAGAGATTTTTACCTTTTTGTCTCTGTGAAGGGCCTCATTAGATTGCCTGTCCTTAGATGTGTCCAGAGCTCACTAAATTATGAATAAATTAACTCAGTCAGCAGGCACGCTTACCAGCCACGCCTTGTGGCGGGCACTGCCGTGGTGAAAGCCGACAGTTGGTGCAAACAGATACTCGTAATATAATGTGCTCAGTGCTGTCAGAGAGGCTCCTTCGTGTATTCTTAAGGGACATTTACTGAACATCGGACACATGCCCGGCACCGTGCTAGGCAAGGCAATGCCCCATGGCTTTCGTGGAGCACATGGGCTGTGAGGAAAGACAGACACTCACTGTGCAATGATATAAGTGTGGGGGGTGGAGAATCCCAGGGTGCTGCGGGACCCTGAGCATAAACAGTGGCCCGGCTGGGGTCGAGTGGGGCTGCCCTGCCTTAGGGGTCTGGAAAGTCTCCATGAGGAAGTTGCATTTAACCAGAGACCCCAAGTCAGAAAGGGGCAGGGGTCTCTACACACTGAGTGGCAGAGGGAATCACAGAAGGCTCCCAGGACGTGGTGACATTTGAGCAGGCCCCTCTGGTGGCAGGCTGCCACAACCTAGGGGTGGCAGGTGTGTGCCCCACCCCAGGGCAAGCCGGGTAACCTCTGTGGTGCCAGGCAAAGCCCCCTGGGCCCCCGCCACATGCCCGTAGCACACACCTCCCCACTCCCTGCCCTTGAAACCTCCCGACACGCGGATCTGGACCTGAGGCCTGGGCGGCCAGGGTGCACTCAACAGAGGAAGTGAAACTGCCCAGAAGCAGGGGCTGGGGACCGAAAGGCTCTCATCCAGAACTCCAGGATGAGCAGATCATCTTTGGAACTGGCGCGGTTACAGCCACCAGGAGGCCATCAAAAAAAGGGGGAAAATAGATACTGAATTTTAAATTCCTCTGAACCCTCCTAGAATAAAAACGACAAGGCCGCGGTCTGGTTGGCTGGAGGGCCGTGGCTAATGGGCTTTGGGGGAACAGTCTGCGGTGGAGGCAGCTGCTCCGAACTCCACTCACCCTTTTGTTTGCTTTGCTTCACCCCAGGACACACCGGTGGGGACGCCCATCTTCATCGTGAACGCCACAGACCCCGACCTGGGTGCCGGCGGCAGCGTCCTCTACTCCTTCCAGCCGCCCTCCCCGTTCTTCGCCATCGACAGTGCCCGCGGCATCGTCACGGTGATCCAGGAGCTGGACTACGAGACGACGCAGGCCTACCAGCTCACCGTCAACGCCACGGTGAGTCCGTGCTGGGGCCCCACAGCCAGATATGGCCTCTTCCCAGCCGTGAAAGGGGTGACAGAGCATCAACCTAGAGCCCTGCGACTCCAGACCCTGGAATAGTGATGCCGGTGATGGTAATCATCATGGCAGCGCGTGTTGCTGACGGTCCGTGCTGTGTCCCTCGTACTGTGCTGAGCACTCAATGGATTGTCTTCACTAAACCTCACAAGAGCCCTGTGTCGTAAGCATTATAAAGAGACCCAGTTTACAGATGAGGAAACTGAGGTACAGAAGGCATTCGGTGACTTGTCCGCAGTCCCCCGGCCGCGGGGCTCCAGCATCTGCACTGGTAACCCCACAGGACACTCATGGTGGCCTCTCACCATGGGACACAGGACAGAGGTGTGACCCCAGCTGTGTCCTGACACCACCCAACACACCGGAGGCAGAGGGAGGGGTCCTGGCCACTTCCCTAGAGTGATGACACTCACACAGTAGGGGGCACCCATCTGTGCCAAGCACCATGCTGGGCCCTGGGAGTTCCAGGATGAGTGTGTCAGGAGAGGGGGGTGGGAGAGAAATAATTATCCCATTTTGGGGCTCACACTGCTGAGACTCATAGCCGAGGAGTAGTGGAGGAATGAGAACCCAAAACCAGGTTGTCTGACGCCCAGTCCAGCGCCCACGACCAAGGGTCTCTGAGTCTCCAGAACATCACAGTCATTTTCCTTTGTCGCCCGCTGTTTGCCAGGGCCCTGGGGACAGGCACGCTATACCCTAAATAGTTCTGCCCTCTACTCTCCTCTTTCCCACCCCCGGCTACCGCCTCCGGGTACAGCTGGAGCCTTCAGCTGGTAGCAAGGAGAGCAGACTTTTTTACAAAGCTCAGGCCAAGAGTGAAACCAATCACTGGGGTCCCTCTTGATCCTCCAGGACCCATTTGCCTGACACACAGCATCCAGCCCCTGGATCTATGACGCTGCAGTGGGGGCTGTCAGTAGCACTGGGGGCTCCACATGGCTGGTCACAGAGCCCAGATCTCTGGGAAAGACCCACTGGATGGATCGAGGGCCTGATTGTGAGAGATGAGGTTCCCCAAGGCTTGGTCAAGATGCAACGGCCCCTGGAGAGGCCACTGCAGACAACACCCTCGTCCTTCCTTCTCCCCGGCTAAGTGTTAGCTGTCAGGGAGGAGGTGTGTGCTGATATTTGCAAAGCTGACTTACGGGGTTGGGGCACTAGCAAGGCCAGAAGCCGCTTTCTGCACCCACCTGCCCCCTTCCGCACTCCCTTGCACCCACACGTGGGTGGTCCCCTCCTACCACTCCCCATTGGTCCACCCCTGGGCCCAGAAACACACAGATGCCTGCTCTCTTCTCACTATGAACCTGTCCTTATGCGATCATTTCCATCCACCGTATAAATGGCTTCGTGCAGGTGGGGGAGAGAACGGAGCTGGGCACAGGCGTGAGTCCGGGTGGCGGGGCCTCTCAAGCTGGGCTGGTGAATACAGTTAAATTGCTGCTAATCTCCCAGCAATCAGGCCTTGACGTGGGAGAGCAGGAGGGGCGTAGGACTCCCTTTGGTATTGATGGCTCCCTCCACCCCACACCCACGCGCCACCTCCCATTCACAGATCCCTCTCGGGCTGGTGCTGTGCCCTTGGCCGCTGGGCATTTCCCCAAGGAGATTCTCCTATGTGGCACTGCAGGGAGCAGGGTGGGTTCCAGCCACCACTGGGTGGGTACCAAGGTGGCCAAGCACGAGAGCTGAAGGCCCAGAGTGACAGCTGGGAGCCTGGGAAGGTGCCTGCCCTGCCAGCTATGCCTACTCCCTGTCTCCAGCCATGGAGTCCAGTGTGGGCTGGACGTGGGCATCTGTGGCAGGAGCAAGACTGAAGCTACAGTGTGGGATGGGGAGGGCAGGTGCCAGGATGGACAAAGCCAGCTGCCAGCAAAAGCCTGGTAATGGCAGATCAGAACCACTGGCAGCCCCTGCCCAAGAGGTCAAGGGGCCTCCTGCCAGGCCTCCTCCTCTGGCCGTGTCTGCCTGGTGGCCATTCGGGTCCCTGGCTGGGAGCTCTCACCATGGGCAGTCCCCAAGCCTAGACTGTGGACACCCTGGTCTTGGAGCCTGGGAAGCTGCCTCCCCGTGGTCCCTCTGCCTAGCTCCTCCTGCCTCCAGACTCTCCCCTCCATTGCTACACTCTTCATCCCCGAAGGCCCTCTACTCTCTCCTTGGCTGCCCCTGAGGACTCTTAAAACAGCCAGCCCTTCCTTCCTGAGGCTCCCCAGCTCAGTCAGGGAGGGCAGGAGCAGGCACTAGGTTTGTGATGTGGGGAATGCCGTGTGTGTGCAGGTCACCCCAGACAAACCAAGGCAAGTCTAAGCCCAGGACAGTTGCTCCCCAATTCCCAGACCAGAGAATTTACAAGCCCAACGGTCCATAGAGGCCATTTCATCTCACAGAAAAGCAAACGGAGGCTCCAAGAGGGGAAAGAACTTACTCAAGGTGACCCAGCAAGTCAGGGACTGAGCTTATGTTAGGGTCCCACATCAAGAGAGTGAAGGGCAGATTTTTATGTCAAAAGGACCTGAGTTTGAGTGCTGGGTACACACTTACCAGCTGTGTGACTCTGGACAAGTTACATAACCTTTCTGAGTCTTTGTAAACTCAACTGACTGAGACACACATAACACCCACAAAAGCAAATGCGGTGTTCGCACAGCGCCTGGTATATAATCTGTATTCAGCATGCAGCTGCTATTCTTGTTAACTATTGTTACTCAATAGTAGTGGGCTCTTTAAGTGGGCTGTGTATTTTAGGGTAATAAAATAGGGGTTTCAGGTTTTCTTTCTTGGTGAGCATTCACAGGACTACATTTCCAGCTAACTAGGAGGGTATAAACATTGCCTATCTGGCTACAGGGGGATGGCCTGTGACCTCCCGGGATTCCTTCCTGGAGTCCCCCAATGTCACAGGCCCTGGAGCTCCCCCTACTGGTTCAACTGGAAACATAACTTGATCAGTAAACCCAAAAGCAGAGCAGGGACCCAGGTCCCAGAGCTGCCCCTCTGGGGTCCAAGGGCCTTTCTTCTAAGAACCCCCATCCTAGTCATTCCCTTGATGTTGATGCTCGGGGATATGAGGGGGCAGAAAGTGGGCATGGAAAGGAGCAGCGCCCCCCTGGGTGAATCCCAAGCCAGTTGCCCCACCCACCAGATATCCAGGGGGGTCAGGCCCAGGCTGGGCTGAGGGCAGGAGACCGAGTTCCGCTCCAGCCTGTTTGCGACATTGGGTTAACCACCTTTCACTGGGCTCTGGGGGGCTGTTTGTGTCTTCCTGCACAGGTCAGAGATCAGTGTGGGTCCTTGAGTTCTTGAACTTCCACATCCCTGTGGGAGTGCAGGAGCACATGTGTGCACGTGTGCACACATGTTTGTGCACGTGAATGTCATGTGTGCACGTGTGTGTATTGTGTGCATGTGTGCCTGTCCACAACATCACTTCACCTAAGGCTGTGTATTTTTGTCTTCTTAGGATCAAGACAAGACCAGGCCTCTGTCCACCCTGGCCAACTTGGCCATCATCATCACAGATGTCCAGGACATGGACCCCATCTTCATCAACCTGCCCTACAGCACCAACATCTACGAGCACTCTCCTCCGGTGAGACCTCCCTGCCCGGTGGGACAGGTTCCTCCTTGGCTCTCCTGCTCTCCGCCCCCCCTCCCCCCATCCCAGTGATTGGCAGGGACGGGTGTCCTAGCACAGGGAAAACCCAACTCCCTCTTCACTCAACACCCCACCTCACTCCATCCCCAGGGGCTCTGAGCGGCCAAGAACAAAGACTTGCTAGGGCAAGTGAAGGGGGGCAATGCAGAAAGATGTATGTGGGTGATGGGACACCTTTGGAAAGCCCAGCCTGGGCTGGGAGCAGCTTTGGACTCAGCCAGGCTCACGGAAACACCAGTGTGGCTCAGTCTTATCTCTCAAGGCCAATGGGTCCATCCACTTCTCTTGCCCAGGGACACTGCTCCGAGATGGTGGCAGCGTGCCCTCTGCTCGCAGGCCCTCTCAGACGTGGCTCTTCCCCGAGAGCTCGCTGCTCCAGCTGCCCCTCCCAGCGGCTCAGGCTGCAGGTTTCTCAAGCCCCGGATTTCAGGAGAGACACCTGATTAGCTGTGCTCGGGGTTTTGTGCCATGTCACAGGGTCATAGATCACCAACCAGCCTGTAGATTGGCTGCCCTGGGGCCACGTGCCTCCTCTGGTTCAGTCCACCGTGTCTGGGTGTCTTTAAGAACAAAACACATGCCTGTGCCCGCTCAGCTGTGGGCCAGGCGAGCAGTGACAGCACCCCTCGCCTGGTAGCCATCTGTGCTTTTGTGCAATCTGGGCAAGATACCCGCTGTGGGCCGATGAGTTGGGAAAAGGCAGCTCCTCTGGGCAGATGAATCCCTGGACATTCAGCTTGGGGAGCAGCTCCTGTGGGAAGAAAAACGTGCCCTTCCTTTTGAGAGGACTCAGTGGGCTTTGAGGAAGGACATACAAGTGGATGCTCAGGGCACGCGAGAGGCGGGCCTCCCTTGACCCGGCTGCAGACCGCGCCTCTGGGCCACCACAGGCCAGTCAGCCTGACCTGCAGTTCGGAGACTCGGCCTGGCCCGATGATCGCACTGTGCTTCAGCCTCTGGGTGTGCAGTAGCCACTTCCTTCTTGGGCCCAGATATGGACTGAAGGGTCCAACAAACAAGACACTTTCTGGCCTCCTACAGAGGGTGTCTGAGCTGCTTTGAGGGTGGAGGGGGGCGTCTCAGTGCCTCTACCACAGCCTTCTCCGTGGTGGTCCATGGAAGCAGAGGCTCCAGCCTTTGAGCCTAAAGGTTGTCTCCTCCAAAACATCTTTGCTAAGCGCACGTCTTCTCAGCCAGGGGGCTTTCCCTGACCTTTCAGAAGGCAGGCCCTCCCGCCTGCCCTCTGCCCCGGACACCCTGTCTTAATTCTCATGATTCTAAACAGCCTGCTCCGCTTCTGCTCCTCGTATGGACTTAAAGTATATCTCGGCAGGGTTGGGGTCTGCTGTGGGCATCGCACAACATGGATGCTCAGGAAGTGTTTATGGATGGATGAATGGATGGATGAATGAATGAGCGAATGAGTGAAGGGTCATACCAGCCCTCTCACCCCAGTCATCACCCTTCATGTGAAAGACCATCTGTTGGTTTTCAGCTCACTGACCACCTTTGTTAATTTTTTTTTCCTGGCTTCATCCCCACTGGCCCACAGACATAGCCATCCCTCTCCCCTCAGCTCCGGTAGAATTGACTCCCTCTGCTGCCTAATTTACCACTAAAGTATAGTCACACCTGTAATGTTCACTGATGTGTAAGTGGGTGACGTTACAGCCCCCAGGGATCAAAATACCCGAGTCTCTGGAGCTTGTTACAAGCTTCCTGTGGGTCTCCGAGGGCATCGTGCCCAGGACCAAATGCAGAGAAGATGGGTAGAACCACCTGTTGATTGAAGTGAGGATGTGATGGTGGCTGGGCAGCCAGAGGAACTTGGAGAAGGTCCCTGCGCAGCCATGCACTCGCCTTGGCCACATCACCAGTCTCCAGACTGCTTCCTCGTGGGAGACGGGCCAATAGTGTCCACAGTGCCCCTCTTGCCTGAGGGCTTAGCACACTCGGGTAGAGCACCCAGCAGGTGCCCCGCAAGCACCAGCACTGCAGGCGGTCAGTCCCGGTGGTTATGAGTCAGCCAGTCCTGAGGTATAGAAGTTGGATTGAACTGGGGGGTCCCATCCTCAGCTTTATCTCAGCCCCGATAGCCAGTGAGAAGGGTGTTGACAATGCGGGTCCTCTGAGACCCTTCAGTGTGTTTTGTTCTGTCATCCCTATATTGTAGCCAAATAATATTAATACTGTTTCAGATCTGCAGATTTCTGAGTTTATCCATTTATTCATTCTATGTTTCACACTTTTCTTAATAAACTAGATGTTATTAAGCCCTTCCTGTGTGCGGGGCCCTGTGCTAAGCCACACCCCCTCCTATAATCCCACAGGCTCCTGCTAGGGTGACCCTCAGGCCCGGCACACAGGGACACCTACTCCCCTTAGCGCCTCTCTCCTGACGCTCGGTTTCTTACATCTGATGTGTTCTCTCTCGGGCGCAGGGATCTTGAGATCTCTCTGTCTTGCTGGGTTGTCCCTTTGTCCCCACGAGGACACTGAAGCCTTCCTTCCTGGGGGTTTGGGGCTCTCCCTGCTCCCGAGTGCCACCGAGCCATCTCTGCGTCCACGCCTCTGCCTCTCCTCCCTGTCGCCCACGTGGAAGGAGCCCTCCAGCGCCCAGCCCCCCTGCACGGCTGTTCTGCTATAGGCCGATTCCCGCGCACCCGAGCCTGATTTTCCAGGCTTCTAATTGGTTTCTGTGCCTTGATCCAGGCCCTCCATGTCCCTTTACAGTGTGGAGCCCGGATTGAACGCAGAACACCCCAAGCCTGGCCTGCTCAGCCTCCCCGGTGGGGGACCCAGGCGGCCCCATTCCCAGCCTCGCTCGCCTCTGCTGGCCGGGGCCTCCATTCGGACCCCGGCCCACTCTCCCTCTTTATCTGCGGCTCCCAGCATGTATGCCTCTCTCTATCACAGTATCAGGCCAGCATGCCTCATCTAAAGTGTATATATTACCTAATAAAATCCTTCTTATTTGGGATTATTGCATCAAATTTTAATTTCCTCACTCGAGCAGCGGCATGTCAGCCTGCCCGTCAGTGAAGGACCGATAGAAGGTGAAAAGAGCGGATAAACTGCACAAATTACTGCCGGCCGATGCCTATCAGCCCTTTGACTGGAATTGACTGGAATTAAGAACTGAGAAATAGGATTTTCTGCCTCAGAATCTGCTGTGGCAGCTCTGGTCGGAGTCCCCTCAGCACCCACCGGGCTCCCCCCAAGGGCACCTCCCCCTCCCGAGAGACTCCCCCTTCCAGGTCCTTAATCCTGTCGTGAAACGGGGGGGGGGGGGGGGGGGGGAGGGGAGGGGAGGGGAGGGGAGAGAGGGAGGTGGACCAGGATGGAGGCAGGCAGAGCCCGGGTGCTGGCTTCAGCTGCCCCCTGGCCCGCGTCTCTGGAAGGAGGCAGGCCTCGGAGAGCAGGGGAGCCACACGTTCCTTCTGGAGAAGTCTCAGCTTTCCTGGCCTTTGCCCGGATGACCCTACTGGTAGCAGGCCTCATGGGTGGGTGAGTGAGGCTGCCTCTCAGCCCTCACCCAACCCTTGCCTTGGCACACCCACCCAGGCCCACCCCAACACTGCCCTCCACACCCCAGGCACGCTCACCCACCTGTGACTTCAAGGAACCCCTGACCCTCAGAGCCCGTTCCCTCAGATGGACCCTGACTGTGGAGGCTGTGAGGAAAAGGTGGAGAGCCTATGTTGGGTGCCCAGCATCGTGCTTGGCACATAGTAGGTGCTCCCCAAATATTGGCTCTCCCTCAGAAAACGCCTTACCTCTAGGGTGGGGATTACTAGTGTAGGGTGCTGGGGAGTCTGAATTTGCTAACATTGTTTGGAACGGCACATGCATTCAGGGGAGAGCACCTCAGCTTGCATAGGATGCTCACAGCGGTTCCGGCCCCAGTGAGTAGCAACAGGCACTTTTATAGCATTTGCTGTGGACCAGGCGCTCTTCCAAGTTGTCTTACATGTGCCAGTTGCTGAGGGGTGGGAACTGGTATTACACCCATTTTACAGATGGGGAGAACAAGGCAGCGAGAGGTAAAGTAACTCAAAGGATTCAAGCCCAGGCAGTCTGGCAATAGAGTTAAACCTTAACCCTCTTGCTGTACTGCTCTTCCCACCACAAGGAGTTGGGACTCCACAGGCCCGTGTACCTTCAGCCTTTCTGGGGGGCCTCCCAAGAGGCCTCCTCCTCACAACGCGGGTTCCTGTAAGGAGAAGAAGCCCATGCCAGGTGAGCCCCACCTCCAGCCCTCCTGAGCCTGCCCACCTGCTCTCCTGCCACACCCTGGTGCACCCCCAGGGAGGGGCCCAGCTCCGGGTCAGGCAGAGGCCTCCTTCTCCATCTCCTCGTCTTTGGAAATAAGTTTCAGTATATTGAAAATATAATCTGAAACAAGATTCGTGGGTTCCCAAGAGCCCCCATTCCTCCCTGTTAATTCCTTCTCATAACATTGCCAGTCCTTGTGGCTGCACTTGTATTAAAAGCTCAGAGTTTTATTAAAAATGGATTTAGTTACCCAAAAAGAGATGAAATCCCAAACTTTGTCAGGAGCCTTTTAGATCTGACTCTGTAGAAGCTCAGGTGTGGCTCTGCCTGGGAGCCAGCCTCCTTGCCGCCCGGTGCCGGGTTGCCTGCTAGACCCCTCTGAGCCCTGCCACCCAGGTTGCCAGGCGGCCAGTGCAGGAGCGGCCTCAGGGAAGGTCCGCGCACAGCTATGAGGACTGAGGGATCTGCGGCCACTAAGTCTCCTCTTTGCACAGGCCAGCAATGCCCACCCCCAAACCCCACGGTCCCTCAGCAGCCCAGGGGCGGCCCGGGACCCTCATGCCAGAACACGTGTGTGGTCCAGGCCAGATGAGGCTGTAAGAAGGGAGCTGTCCCACGTCCAGAAAGCCTGTCCTGGCAGCTGGAGCCTTTGCCAGAGTCCTACACCCTCAGGGTTTCCTCTTGGGGACAAATCCAGGCCTCTCCTGAGTGAGGAGTGACCCCCGGAAGGGCAGGCTCCAAAAAGGAGCTCCCTGTAGGGTGGTGTGGGGAAGCGTTGGTGTAGACCCTTCAAGTCTAGTGCAGGGCTTTCCAAACGGTCTCCCACTGCTCCCGGGTCTGGGCTGTTCACAAATGCTACGTGAAAGAGTCTGTCTTCAGATGAGCAAGTCTGGGGACAAAGGGTGCCAGGTTTCCTTGCCACTTGACTACTCCCGAAGCCTTAAGCCTAGTAACACCTGTTGGGCATCTCCGAGGCAGGTGTGGGGTAAGTAGGTTTTCCCAAATTTGGCCTGAGTTAGTGCTTGTGAAGTGCTTGGTCTAGAAGCACTATAGCAACCACGCTCACAGATAACCGTTATCGTTACTGAAACAGAGCCTGCGGCAGAGGCAGCAGCACCTGGCAGGCAAGATCCTTAGGGAGCCGAAGTACCTGAATTTGAATCCTGGCTTCATCATTCACTTGGAAAGGCTGCTTAACTCTTGTTCCTCGGTTTCTGCCTCTGTAAAATGGGGCTGTCTCGGCCGTTGTGAGGGGGAAGTGAGTTGGTACATAGAAAATACTGGCAGCCGTGACACTGCGTGGCTGCTCGAGACAGGACAGCTCCTGCTGCTGCTGGTACTTCACAGGCTCTGGCACCACTCGGGTCCTCAGAGCCCACCCAGTGGATGCTCATCTGACAGTGTCTTTCTCTGGCTTCTTCAGAACAGTTCGTTTCTCGCAGGGATCTAGCCAGAGCCGCTGTCCCTGGGCAGGGGCCCCAAGGAGGGGTCTGGCCTGCTTTCTGCACAGCCTCGGCCCCTGGACTGTGTCCATCTCTCTGTGGGAGACATTTCTCCTGGAACATTCTCACCTCTCAGCCGACCTGGGAGTTGTTCTGGGCTGCACCCCTGGGCTCCAGGAGATATGGGGAGACAGCTGGGCAGGGGCAGCATCGGCTGGGGAGGGTGAGATGGTGGGCGCCCCTCCTGTGTCCTGGCAGTGAGACCGGAAGGAGTTGGAGGGGAGGCACCTTGCACCCCAGGGCCCCACCCTCCAGGTCAGGGGGCCCGTGTCAGGAAACAAGCCTCTCGCCACAGGAGAAGGTGCTCAGATGGGGACGCAGGATGCAGCCTGCGGGATTCAGCCTTCAGCTGATGAGTGGGTGAGAGGCACCAAGGCCAGGGGGCCCTTTATTATGCAAGCAGATGTCAGGGTTGATATTTCCCTAGGACAGTGATGGCGAACCTATGACACGCGTGTCAGAGGTGACACGCGAACTCATTTTTTTGGTTGATTTTTCTTTGTTAAATGGCATTTAAATATATAAAATAAATATCAAAAATATAAGTCTTTGTTTTACTATGGTTGCAAATATCAAAAAATTTCTATATGTGACACGGCACCAGAGTTAAGTTAGGGTTTTTCAAAATGCTGACACGCCGAGCTCAAAAGGTTCGCCATCACTGCCCTAGGGGACAGGGACAGGGCTATGCTGCTATCCACTGAGCAGGGAAAACTGCAGCCTGGGCCAGACCTGAGGCGGCATGGTGAGCCGGCATGGCTGGCCAGACAGCGGTGTGGTAGGGCCTGGGGAGCAAAGTGAAGGCTGCTCTGAGCTAGTGACTCAGCAAGTGGTAGTGATATTAGAATCCTCTCATTCATTCATTCATTCAGTCAATCATCAACTGGTAGTTGAATGTGCCCATTCACATGGATTTATTGCTAGAGAGTTCTGTTCTTCAGCCCCTGCCTGTGCTGTATCTTTTCCCTGGAACGCCTTCCTCTTCATTTCTCTCCCTGGCAAACTCCTACGAATTCTTTATGACCCCACCCTAACTGTCGCTACATGTACAATCCTTTGCCAGCTCCTCCAGGTGGACTTCTGTATCTAAGCACCCATGTGTATGTAGTGTACATGCATATGTCCTTGACCCTTTGCCACAGACTCTGTGCTCCCAAGAGCAGGGACCCTTGCATCCCCATCCTGGTAGTCCTGGCTCCTGGTCCCTCCTCCTCTAGTGCTGCAAGGAGAATACAAGGGGAGTGGGAGAGCCATTTGAGGTAGGAACTGCGGGTTGCGGTGCTAGATGGGCAATGGTTCATAGGGCCCAGGGTTGCCACAGTCATCCCTGGAGACATTCGCTTTTAGGATTTATGGTACTTTCATTCTTAGAGTAATTGATCATTGATGTTCTTTACTCAGGTCCTAGTGAGAACAAGGTCCCAGGGTTTTGGCTGTTATTCGTATTAAGGTGGGGCATACTGAGACCAGAGAGGTGCAGCAACCGACCTAAAGCCACACAGCAATTGGATGGGTGATTGAAATAGAAGCCAGATCTGTTGCACCCCGACTGGCTGCTCCTCCATCGGCTCTCCTCTCCTGGCTGGTCTCACCGAATGATGGGAGATGGGGAGGTGAAGGGCGAGTGAGAGTATCAGCAAGATCCAGCCTCTCCGAAGGACACAGGTGTTTGCCTGGGGGCCTCAGTGTATGTCCCAGGGGCGAGGGGGACACCTGAGGCCTGAGCACCCAGCACCTCCTCCCCTGGCTGGCCTGGCAGCATCCACCTGAGAGGGAAGCTGCGGTCCCAGGACAGCTAGAAAGGAAGAGAGCAGCAGCCTGGGGGCCGCACAGCCAAACTCAAGTCCCTTCTCTCTCCCACCCAGGGCACCACCGTGCGCGTTATCACTGCCATCGACCAGGACAAAGGACGCCCCCGGGGGATTGGCTACACCATCGTCTCAGGTAAGGCCAGGCTATCCCTGGCTCTGGGGAGTGGGTGTGCAGGACATGATATGAGGTACCTGCCCCAGGGCCAACTCTGACGAAGGGCCTGGAGAAGGGATGACTGCCTGAAGGAGGAAGGAGCAGGGGAGGAGGGGAGCTTGGGATGAGGCTAACATGCCTGGGGCTCTTCGGCGATGCTGGGGGGCAGGAACGTGTGCTAGTGCCCAGGTCGGAGGCATCTGCACCAGGGGCTCTGAGCCTGGATCGTGGGTGACTCCCATCTAACCTCCTGTGGAACTCTGGGTTTTCTTTTCTGACTTGATGAAAGAAAGAAATGGTGTTTTGTCATCTTTTAGAACTAATAGAGCTGCTTGGGCTGGTTTCATGTTCTTTTCACATTTCTGACCATTAGAAATTTATGTGTCGTCTGGACTCGAGCGGGGCAGGCACATACGCCCTCCTCTCCCTCCCTGATCTCTAGGTTGAGCAGAGCAATGACAGACTCTGGGTGATGGATCCCCTGACCCATGTTTCCACCCAGAGACTGACTGAAGCAGCAGCTCCGTCCGACTGTCCCAGGGCGGGTGGCTTTGGAGACGGAGCTGGCGAGACCTCCGTGAGAAGCTGCTCGCTCACGTACAGATGCTGGCTCTGGCCCTGTCCTCTCACCCCTGCCCACACATGGCCTCCCTGCTCTGCCCACGAGGCAGTGAAGGGCCAGCCTGGTCCATCTAAGCAGGTCGGACTGATGGCCACGAGGATGGCAGGCCACCAGGCCAGTGTCCACCCCGTCACACCTCTCTACCACACCCCCGAGGATAGGGATGGCATTTGGGGGCATTTTCGCCCTAAAGCTCAAAAGGCACCAAGATGTAGTGACCAAGAACATAGAGGTTGGGATCTTGAACATATTGCCTTAGATGGTTTCATATCTCAGTTTCTCATCCATAAAACAGAAGCAATAGGAGCATCTGCCTTGGGTGGTTCAAAGGTCAGAAGACAGTATATGTAAAGAGCTTAATTCATGTATATGAGGTATTGTAAGTATTAGCTGTTATTATTACTGTTCTAAGCTAATAATACTCTCGGGAAGCTGGGGTTTGCTGGAGGGAAGGAGACCCCTCACATCCTTGGAAATGCAGGAGATCGAGGGTATAAGGGGCTCCCTGTGACCGGTAGCTGCTGGCGTGACTGCTATCGTGCCTCTAAGCCCAGGGGACCCAAGGCCCAGAGCAGTGCCAGGCCAGCTCCGGTGCAGAGCAGCAGTGTGGGTTTAGGCCTCTGCTCCCCCCACCCCGCTTCCCTGTTCTGCTACCAGCAGAGTAGGCCCCAACATGTACTTGTGGAATAAATGAGTGAATGAATGTTACTCTAGGATGGTGGGGTTTCAAACCCTAGTAAGCCAAGAATCGCCGGGGGCTCCTCCCAAAAATGCTGAGTCCCTGGCACTGACAGAGATCTCGTTGTGTAGCCTGGGCTGGTGGCCAGGATGGTCCTTCCTCGCAGCGCCCAGGTGGTCAGATGCAGGTGGTCGGTCCTTAGGCCAGGTTGTGGACAGGCCGGTCCGCGGAAGGAAGCCGCCCTGCTGGAGGCGGAGTCCCCTCTGGTGGGCAGAGGAGGAGGGTGGCGCAGGCTGCTGCTGGTCTCCATGCATTTTCCAAACTGGGAAGTAAAGCCAGTACCTCCTGGTGACAAGGAACTTGCACTGGAGATTGGAGGGAGCACCAGTGAGCCGCCAGGGTGATGGAGTCGGGGGGGGGGCAGCAGTGCAGGGGACACCTGTCTGAGTGGGGGATTGTCCCCTCATCTCATTGCCTCTGGGCTGGGGAGCAGGGAGCCAGGGCTTGGCCTGAGGTCATGGCCAGACCGGAAATTCCTGCAATGACTCTGGGAGGCCATCCTGCAGGGCAATTGGTCCATTCCAGGTCCATGCTGGGTTCCCGGTCTTCACCCCCCAGGTCTCCAATTTTCCCAGATGACCCCAGCCAGCTCTTCCTCCTTCGCCCTTCCCTTGGAGCAGGAGGCTAGAGGGTGGAGCTGCTGAAGCTGTGGTGTCTGGCCTGGGCTTGGAGCTTAGAATCTGGGGGCAGTTGCCATAGGACGCTTCCTATGAGTGTCCAGCGACATACTCTCCTGGACCAAGTTCCCAGTGCAAACAACAAGATGAGAAGGGAGACTCAGGAAGTGAACCTACAGGTAGGGGATGTGTGTGAGGGTGGGGGCAGGTGGCAGAAACTTCTGGAAGTCCTGGAGCACTTAGCATAGCTTTATTCGATTCCCACTGCCAGCACAGATGTGTTTTGGGGCTTTGAGAAAGGATGACAAATGGGTTTCCTCTCACATGCCAACGCTGATTGATTGGTGATGGCTGCCTGAAGAGGACCACAAAGCCAAACAGGCCGCGTGCTGAATTCAGTGGGTAGAACCTGCTGTGGGTGTGGAAAGAGAGGGCCATCCATGCCTGTGGCACGTATTTGCCATCCTTGGTAAGGTGGCACTTGGACCACAGTCGCAGGGCAGCCGCTACGGGCCTGTTTGTCACTGCTCAATCCCACCCAAATCCTTCCCGACAGCTTGAGGAAAGGGCAGTCCTCCTCTTTTTCTTCCCTCCCCATCCCGAGACCTGGCTCACCTGTTGCCACCCACCTGTTCCTGCCTGCCCTTCTCCTCCGGCCCTGGCCTGGCATAGTCTCCCTGCGAGCCGGCCTCAGAAGGAGCCCACAGCAGCAGGCAGCAGGAGGGCAGATCCCCAGGGGAGCAGGTGACAGAAGGCTGGGACTTGGCCTCGGCTCTACTTCCCTCAACCAGCGTAGACACCGCTGCACAGAATACTGCCTGCAAGGCTCTGGCCTCGCACCTGCGTCTGGAAGCAGGAAGAAGGGCTGCCCACAAGGGCAGCTTCACGCTGACTGTCCCAAGCTGGGCCTGAGTGCCCGGCGGGGCTTGCTCCAGCCCCAGGTGCTCTGCAGCCCTTTTCATTTGACAGACAGATCAGGGGTCTTGGGGACTCCCAGAGCAGGTGGGAGTCCTTAGGGCCACTGTGGGTGACCAAGTCTCCAGGTGCCTCCAGAGCCAGGGCAGGGGTGGCTCAGTCTGCACATGGATGGACACAGGCCTGAGCCCACAGTGACTCTTGGCACAGGGTTAACCTGCCGGCTCCCTGAGGCCTGGTCCCCTCTGCGCTGTGGATCAGCCCTGCAGCTGGGGATTTATGTCTGCACACCGCTGCTTTCCCCATTACTAATGACCCCTCTGTTTGCCAAGAACAAAGAGGCCTTCAGAGGTAAGTTATGGCTTCATTGCCACCAATTTGTTCTCAGCCTCTCGTGGCCAAACTGAGACTGAAGGATGACAGAGTTCTTTCCCATAGAGGACCTGGCATGGGCCCCATCCTCTCCCTGGGCCTGGCCTGGCCTGCCCCTCTCCAAGGGCATGGCTTCCTCCGGGGCCCAGCCAGAGCAGGGCTCTGCAGCCTCTGTCCCAATAGCCGGCCGCCTGGGGTCTGAGCAGACAGACATCCTCTGCCACACAGACAGTCCTGCTTCGAGGGGCAGCCTCGCCCCCTTCCCCGCAGAGCGCTGGACTTGGAGTCCAGAGTTGTGGGTTCGCGGCCCAGCTCGGCCGCCTGCAGTGCTGTGTCCAAGCCAGCGCTTGGCCCCTCTTAGCACCATAATTCTCATCCAGTGAGCAGGGTGACTCATCTCCATGGCAGATCAGATGGTGCCAGGGAGACTCTAAAAGGCCATCAAATACTAAGCATTATTAATTGTCAAGGAAACATCAAGGCCAGGGGTCCTTGGGAGTCCTGCTCTCTCATTTTCTCCTTCACTCATTTAAGTGGAGAAGTGGTTGGGAGGGAGGCTCTAGGGCCCCTGTCCGGGAGGTGACCACTAGCTGTGCTGGCCAGTACAGTGGCTCTTGAGCACTTGAGACGTAGCTAGTCAGAATCGAGATGTGCTGTACATATAACCCACAGGACTTTGAAGACATAGTATGCAAAACAGGTGGTAAAATATCTCATTAATAATGCCTTATATTGATGGCATGTTGAAATGATATTTTAGATATACTGAGCCAAATACAACATATTATGAAAATTAATTCACCTTTTTATTGGCTACTAGAGAATTTAGAATAACCCCTGTGGCTCGCATTCTATTTCTATGGGTAGTTCCATTCCTGAATTAGACCGCGTTGGCTTGCTTTCCACCACTGACCGGCTGTGTAACCCGAGCGTCAGTTTTCCAATCTGTAAATGGAGGTTATAATAGCCCGTGCCTCCCAGGGGTGCTCTGAGGATTCAGTGAACTAGATTCTGAATTTACAGCAAATGCTCAACAAATGGGGACTCTTGATTGAGGGTCTTTTCTGGGCCAAGACCTGTGCTAATGTCCTGAGGCTGGGGCGGGGGGAGGTGGAGGCACTGTCCGGGCCAAAGGAACTTGCATTGTGGCAGCGGGGGCAGACTGTGGTGCCCTGGCGGGTGGGATGCTGTGAAGAGAAGCACAGGCTGTGTTGATAATTGTTGCCATGGAGTGATGGTTCTCAGGGCATCTGTTAGACTGTCCTCTCTACTTTTGTGTGTTTGGAAATATCCATAACAAGTGAGAAAGAACTTATGGGAGGGGGTGCCTCCCCCGCCATCATCAGGGTGAGGAGACTCACAGAGCATCCAGGCCACCCCTGACTGGTGAGCTGGAATAGCCGGGAATGGTGGAGGGAGGGTCTGTTGCAAGCAGAGGGAACAGCGTGCACCAAGATCCAAGAGTAGGAGAGAGTGGTGTCCATGGAACCGCAGTGATTCAGCACGGCTGAGCGCAGCACTTAAGGCCGTGGGGAGAGGAGGCCACAAAGGGAGGTGGGGCCTGGCCATGCAGGGTGTGGAATGCCCGTTCAGGACAATGACCTTGGTCCTGAGGGCAGCAAGGAGCCAGTCCAGCAGGGAAGGGATGTGGTCAGAGGGCCTTGTGTGAAGTCCGTGTGGTCCCACTGGAGCCAGTGTGTTGGAGGAGGGCAGG